AAATGAACTTCTAAATTAATTACAACACTTTGCAGATTACTATGAAGCACATATTGACATAGAGTACATCTTTTTGATTGTAACATACTGTAGAAGTTTGCATTGTTTCCGTTTATTTCTCTGTAGAGAACATTGCTGTCTCTCTCTGTGTCGACCTTCTGCTGAGCTCTGATGGCCAGTTGCCTTCTGAAAAAGAGCCCTCCAAGCATTTTGGTGTTGAATAGCATAACATACTGTGGGTGTTTAAATTCTTTTTGAATATTTCTAACGTTTTTAAACATTTAATTCTTATATGTTGTGTGTGTGTGTGTGTGTGTGTGTGTGCATGTGCATGTTCGCGTGTGTGTCATTCTGTAAATCTTCCCCAACCAATATTTCCACAAATGCTGAAGAGCAGAGTGCGGAAACCCAGGATCATAATTTGAGATGGGTTTCAGAATCATTACTTTATAGCTGGAGATTCAGCCCTCTAATAAATTCAACATGTATATTTTCCATATTTTAGCCAAAGTAATGAATATGGTGTAGGTTCTGTGAATGAGCTGCTCTGCATAGCTTCTGGTTTACCAGCGCTGCACAGAGATGCGGCCACTCTTCCAGAGCGCTTGTCCTACAAAGTCAAACATTCAGAATCTAAAACCGCAGTGAAATGTTGACCATGGCCTCAAGAATGACTAAACCAAACCTTTTAGCCCAAAAGCAATGGGTTTCATGTAACAATAAATAGTGTTTCTTCCCAGTTGTCAAGCGTGGCCTGGACGGGTTTGTAATATTTTGTAAAAGCATGACTGAATAAGCATGTGGGTTTCTCCGAGGAAGGATTTCCAAGTCCAGAGCAGGAGTTTGAAGCTATTCCTTAGATGGGGAAGCACACATGGCCTTCCAGCATCATAAACATGCCTTTGCATTGTTGATCCAAATGATCTAATTTGTGTCTACTGTGTGTCTCTGGCCATGCGGAGCTTTAAATCAGTAAAATGTTATTTAATCATGCACCCATTCGGTAGAGCAAGCTCAGCTAATCATGAAGTGTTGTTTAATATATCACGACAGTAATAAAATCTATGAAAAACACCTTTTGACAGCCTTACAACTGAAACTCTTTTACCCCATGCTTTGCTCTGGTCCTCTAAACTGTATTTCACTGCGAGCACAGATGGGTAGATTTTCTATACTTCACGCATACACACACACATCCATATCTCATTACATCTGCCAGACAAGTCTGCCGTGGGATATGTCCCTGGAGGGTCCAAACAGACCCTTTTCTTAGTTGGTATGGCACACACACACACACACACACACACACACACACACACACACACACACACACACACAGTGGGAGGTGTGACACCGATACGGTAGCCCTCACTCTCTCTGGTAGCAGCCAAAGTAAAGAGCTCTCTGCTCTGTAAAAGTGATTTGCCAACATATCCTGCAAAGAATCAGGAATTTACATGTCTGGATTTACTACAGACTGAAAACGATACCATCTCTGCTCAAACACAGCGCTCGACACACCGCCTGCCCGCCTTGCCTCCATGTTCCTGAAAGGCTTTTAATGTGCGAGATCAGCTGAGCTCTGTGCTGCCTTATTGATCAGCCTTTTTTTCCCCCCCCTGTAGGCTCCCAGAAGCAGGAGGTGGTGTGCAAGAGGCTGGACGACAACTCGGTGGTGCAGAACAGCTACTGTGACCCAGACGGCAAACCTCCAGAGAACCAGAGAGACTGCAACACTGAGCCGTGTCCCCCAGAGTACGTAACGCCGAGGCTTGATTATTTTCAGCTGATTGCTTTTGCAAAATCTGTAAAATGTCAGGCATTAGAATAATGACTCACACGTTTACAGGGCCCAAGGTGAAGGTGGCGTCTCCAAATTGCTTGTTTTGTCTCACCAACAGTCAATTTACAATGATATAAAACAGAGGAGAGCTGCAAACCCTCACATTTAAGAAGCTTGAAGCAGAGAATATTTGGCCTTTTTGCTTGATAAATGATTTACTTTTTGACTTATTGTTTCACTGGTAGGTCTGGCTTGCCAGCTAGCTTGCTTTGTTCAGTACTTTCATATCAGAAAAATCAGCGTAAAGGTGTCAAGAATGCTTTTTGAACCCTTTTACAGAGTATTTATTCATCCTAAAATGCACTGAATTGTATTTCTGCCAGTGGAAACAAGCCGTAATCACAACACTGATATATTACCATCTCAAAGTCAAGTCACTGTTATTTAAGTAGCACATTTAAGATAACAGATGTTGAGCCAATGGATTTTCCACTAGAGAAACAAAGTTAACTTTGTAAATTCACCTAACTAATTTAAGTAATTGGATTATGATTCAACAATATTATAGAGAGAGATCCAATGATGATTCCCTTTGAGCAAGCGTGGTGATATTGGAAAGGCAGAACACAGAAATCTTTAGCAGAACCAGGCTCAGGGAGGGCAGCCGTCTGCCTCGACTGGTTGGGGTAGAGAGAAAAGGATAGCAGAGGGAGACACACACAAACACTGGGCTGTGATGCTGAGGCCAAAGCTGATAAGCAAACATTCAGTCATTTACACATCAGATACAGAGCAACATTTGCATTGATGTGGTGTCATGTTCTGGCCACCTGGTGAATTTACCGACATATTTACTCCCTTTTCGCTCTATTTTGTGTCTCTACCAACCTCTGAGCTGCTAAATGCTCCACTGTGTTCATCAGCAAGTCTTTTACTGTGTCTGCTGTGCGTTACGACAGCAATATTAGTGGCAAATGTCTACTGTCCTAGTGTAGGACACCACTAGATACAAGCTACTGTGCATTGTGTGGAATGGAGTCTTTCAAGTGGACTACCAGGAACGTAGTACATGACTACAACTCTGCATTGATGGTGTCCACAGGTGCACATCCTTACGGCCCACTGTATAACACTGGCCTCCTGCCATCTGCCTACCAGTAACAAACATCAGACACAGTTGGCAACTCACTGATGAATGTAATGGAGCATTTAGCAGCTCAGGTGTTGGTAGGGACCAAAAATAGAGCGAAAAGGAGATAAATATGTTGTTAAATTCATCTGGCGGTAGAACACCACTCCAAATCATCTTTCAGAGCTTTTTTTTTCTAATAACAGTTGAAAACAATGCTGCTCAGCGCAGAGAAAATCAACAAAAACTGCAAGCTAGTGAAGCTACAGCTAAATCTGTCTAAAACGCCCTGCAGAGCCGAGGAAAATTGCATCAGCTGATAACTGTAGGTTTTTCTCTATGAACGACATCTTTTGCATTACACATGGACATACGATCTGCGGTTAATATAAAAACATAGAGTATAGCAGCATAAGTTAATGCTTTCAAAAGAAAAACCCTCCATAAAAGCGAGACTGACTCATGATATTAATTCACCTTCAATGAGCCCTCGTTGTAAAATGTGTTTGGAAGAAAATAATAAAATAAAACGGCAGTGATTTATAACTTCATATGTTAACTATTTTCAGTGTTTGCTTCGTGCCAAAAATAAGAGCTCCGAAAATGGCCACCTGTGTTTGATTGTTTTGGCTTCTTTGCCGATCCTCGAGGGGTAATATACACGTATACAGGTGGAATATGAACTTGTGTTTGGTGGCCAAATGTCCGTAAACCCCTCACTTCAGCTGGAAGCACGGCCAGACTCGCTTCAATCACGTCTGGAAAAAGAGGGATTAAGTGCGTCAGGTTAATTAGTTTCAGACTATCTTGACAATTATTTGGGTATGAGAGTGAACGCTGGTGTCTTTCAGCTGGGATTCAGCCAAAAAAACTGATAGTACTGTAAATCTACTGTATCAGCCGTAATTTGTTTTCATACGTTCAGACTACAGCTGCATTCAGTGAACGCAAAAACGTGGTATCTCATTTATTTTGATTAGTGCTTGAAGACTACAGCGGTGTGTACTGAGTTGTAGCGCACACATGGCATTTGTGTCTGTTCAGAAGGCAAACACCTCTTCTGCAGCGTCAGGAGAGGCCGACTAAAGCAGGCCGTGTAAACACGATTGTTTTAGAATAGCCAGGGTTTTATGGGCTCGGGTAATGAAAGCTTGCACAGATGTTTGAACACGTCGTTAATGCTGTATACATTCCTTCACATGATGTAATATCTCACAGGCTGGATGTGTTTGGAGGGCTGTTGTCTGCGCAGTTTTATGATATTAATTCTGAAGTCTGTAGACAAGACTTTCTCGATGTCTGAAGCCCGGTGGCCTGGCATGGCACTGGACACTAAAATACACTCATCCACACATCCTCTCTGCTCTGTGTAAACACAGCCTGCAGTTCACCTAAAAAGTCCTTGCATTTTTTTCACATGACAGCTGAGTCACTAATGGCCTCTCAGCTTTTTTTACAGACTCTGGTGTGAGCGGTTTATCATGGGAAAAGTTTCAAATGAGACATGCAGAATTAAGTGATTTTAATATAAAGCTATTGCAGTTTAAAGCTTAGATTTTGTTTTTTCTCCCAATGTCACAGATGAGTAGTTAAAAACCTGTCAGAAAGCTCAAAGTCCTTTCTGTTTTTACAGTTTCTGGCTCTAATAAATGGTGTAATTTTAGCAATTTTTAAAAAGACACGTGCCTTTTAATCCAGCTGGTAGGGTTTCGGGGTTCAAAGAATAAATTTCCCTAACAACACTGTGCCGGTTAATACTATAAAAAGACAGCATTAATGTATGAAAGACAAAACACACACAGATAGATTGCACGTGTGGGTGAACTGTTAATGTCATTTACACCTGGATGACAGTCATCGTCACAGCTCCGTGCTCAGGGAACTGAGTTTGTTCACACGGAGCAGAAATCCTCCCTCACAAGGATGTTGTTATGCTTGTAGATACTGTTTTCTCCACTCATAGTATGTGCATGCATCTCATTTTTATATGCACAGGTTTTAAGACCAATTCTGATTCTGAAATTAGCAACTGTCTGATTAGAAGAAGAAGGTAATTATGCATTGACTAGGCAATCAATACCATCTTGTTCAACCTGTGAGACCAGAACAGAACAAAATTTGAAAGCCTCAGAGTGGTTTGCTGCTTTGCCCTTTAGTAGAATTACCTTGAAAGGTCATATAATTATACAGTACCAATGCCCTGTTTGTATCGAGTTCATGTCAGTGAGTGTAATACAATGGCACACTGAGAAACAACACTCAGAAATCACAGAAATGTTCTACAACTAAGCTGTTTGTGTCGGTTCTTCTCCCCTCCAGGTGGTTTATTGGTGACTGGTCAGAATGTGGGAAGACATGTGATGGTGGGATCAGGACGAGGACGGTCCTGTGCATCAGGAAGATCGGCCCGGCTGAGGAGGAGACACTGGAGGACACCCACTGTCTGACTCACCGGCCCATCGAAAGAGAGTCCTGCAACAACCAGTCCTGCCCGCCAAAGTGGGTCACTCTGGACTGGTCTGAGGTAAGACGGCACTCAGAAGCTATTTCCTTTAGCTCTGCATGCTGTCGAGACCTTCTGCTCACACCTTCTCCTCCCTCCTCAGTGCACACCTAAATGTGGCCCTGGCTTCAAACACCGCATCGCCTTGTGTAAGAGCAGCGACCTGACCAAGACCTTCCCTCCTGCCCACTGTCCGAGCCACAACAAACCTCCGGTCCGAATCCGCTGCAGTTTGGGACGCTGCCCTCCTCCTCGCTGGATCCCTGGAGAATGGGGACAGGTGGGATTACACCTCCTTCATATCACCAACAACAAAATGGTTCTTTATGAACCTCATGCTGTTTCAGTCACATTGTCCTCACTGTGAGCAGATTTGTTACTGCAGTATAAAGACCTGGACCTTTATGGAAACCATGGCCAGAAGTAGAGAGAAGTCAAGGTGTCTTCTGTGCAGTATGACAAAGTTATAATACCAGAAATGATAGAGAAGAAAAAATGGAATTTGGTTGAATTTTTATATTTTATTTTACAAAAATTGAAAAACCTATGAAAAAAAAACAAGTACAGCTTTTTCTCAAGTGCCCAAACTTGTCCCCAATAGTGAAAAAAAAAATAGAACTCCTTATGTTATAGTTAAGTTATTTGACTTTTCACACGACTCCAGAGATATATTTCACCATGCTGAATGTATCTTCCAACAACGTGTTCCTCTGTATACTGTTTCTGTACTATGCTTTATTTTCCTCTTAGTCTCTCTTGTTGTCACATATCTGCTCCGTGTAAACACAGCCTGCAGTTCAACCGAAAAGTCTCAAGGAGCTTTTGTCACGTGACTGTTAGTCACTAGCGGAGTTTCTAATGACTTCATGGCTGTAATGTTGAGAGCAGGTTTTTTGTTTTATTTTACACAATCTTGTGTGAGAAACATTGGTGTTGGTTTGTGGTAAATTTAAGTACTTAATTTTAGCTCAGTTTTTGGTCTCTACCAACTAAGCTGCGAAATGCTCCATTGCGTTCAATAGATAGTTGGTAATACTCCTTTGTAGATGTGAACACGGACAGCAAACAAAAACAATGATTTTGATGAAATGTCCCGATTTTGAGCTGAGCTTTAGTTATTATTTTCTGATAGAATCGCATGATACATTCAAGGACCATCAGGAAGTTAAAAACCCGACAATTCTTTCTGTTAGTAATATAAGTTTGGCAATTTTGTCTGCTGCCGGGTTTTGGTGTTCAGAGGGTTAACTTTCCAAGAAACATTGTGCTGGTTAATCCTTTAAAAGGATAGCTTGAATGTTTAAGAGACAAAACATGCACAGATAGATCCCATGTGTAGGTGAATGGTTAGTATAATTTACACCTGGATGACATGCAGGGGGTTCCAAGCAGACCTGAGGCTGTGTTTGTGTTTGTGAGTCCAAGCACTCCAGCAGGTCTGGAGTGTGTGATCAGTGGCAGGAATATCCTCCCGGCTGTTTGAAGTTTATCTCTGCGTCAGACCGGGCCTCTCTGTCACTTCCAGGAACAGGATTTTGAGGAAGACGGAGGATTCTTGGACTCACCCCGGCGTGACTTAGTGCGCTCAGAAAAAAAGCTGTCGAAACACTTTACAACACAGCTGACTCGTGTTGGGGAGACGACGCCAAAAAGTCGTGCGTCAGAGATGGCTGTATCTACAGAAAGTATGGCTTGTTATTTTGGAGCGTTTGTTGATAATTCAGCGTAAAATTTTAAACAGTGTGCTCCGATGTTTAGAAGGCGGCCGTGCGAGTCGCTCGTGCTCTGGCAGAGGTTACGTCACGGTTTCAGCCGTGTTGTTCAGGTCAGAGGCCAAGAGTCGGGCTGTCTAGGTCGCTGCTCTCCTCGTATCAGCCACATGTGTTCACAAACACTAGTAACACGCTTTTACGATTCAATCAGTGCCAATAACAGCTATAAACAAAGCCGATAACCTAAGTGTGGTCCATCAAAGGAGGTTAATGCCTCATAGAGCAACAGCTGGAATCTGCTCTTACACAGCATTTTCTGATGCGCTGCAGGAGTGTGTGTGTGTGTGTGTGTGTGTGTGTGTGTGTGTTCATGATGTGCTCGCTCCGTCTCCACCTCTTCTGTTTTTCTGGCTGTAATTACAAGCTTTGCCCTCACCGCTCTAGTCCCGGCTCTCCAAGCGCCAGAAAGGGGAGATTGTTGCCAGCTACCGAGCGACTGGTCTCGCAGGCCAAAAGGTCACTGGTTCAAATCCCACTTAAGTTGCACCATTGACGTACACCATCTGTCATGGCCGGCAGCGGGCCCTAATAAAGACGCTCTAATTGGGAAGGGATGACATGCGGTCTCGCTGATCTGAGGCAGTCAGAGAGGATCATTGAAGGTGACGGAAAGGGGGGGTAGCTGAGTTCATATCACACACACACACACACACACACACACAACACACACGTACACACATGATGGCTGACAGGTGTGTTATTCCTCAGCGTCCCATTCATTACAGAGATATCCAGTGTGTTTCAGGCTCGTGTTTTGCCGAAGGTGACTTGGCACCTACAGCTGTTATTGTTTTTATTGGTCTTTTCTTCTGCAAAGGAGTTTAATGGCCGCCCATAGGACCAATCTCAGCTTTTATTACAACTGGCACACTGATAGGAGTTAGTCAAAGAGCGGCAGGAGCACATTTCGGGTTCACAAAAGCAAACCTTTTACGTGTCAACAAACATTTACATCTTTGTTTGCTTCTTCTCCTCTCTAGAAAGTCACACTAATATGGACCACATGCTAAAGGAGATGTCTTCAGGTTGCCTTTCTGAAGACTTATCAACATTTAGTGCGCCAGTGTTTGAAGATATGATGCAAAGAAATCCTAAATAGGAACACATGCTAAAATTAATGACTGTTCTTTTCTTACGGCCAAAAAGTGGATTAAATGTCAATCAACAACAGGCTGAAAGTATAGAAAAGGGTCTTGAAACTCAAAAAAGGAACTTAAAACAAGGAAATTATTGTTACTGTTGTATAATAATACAGCTTTATCATCATAAATCCATCTATCCTTACATAGGTGTCGGTTTCAATAGAATATTGGAGGTGCCACATTAAGCTTCAAACACTTCAATTCTCACATTCTGGTGAATCTTTATGCAATTTGTGCTTTTTCTGCATTAATTGTATGTTGGAAACATCTTTATATATGTAAAGGAAAACAACAAATTCAGGCATAAGGTGACAACGGAAAATATATTATATGTAGATCTACATTTTACACAATAGTTTCAGTGTTTGTCTGAGCTCATAATTTATATTTTTAGGGTAATACTGAGGCCTTTGTTATGTCTCTTACTACTGTTATAGCATTTTTTCCAAATAAAAGTCTTCTGCTTCTTTATTATCAGGGGAAACAAATGCAAATGTTTTAAATACTGGTACAGACGTATCCTATATAGGCAGTGGTAAATGCCTTAAAATACATCCACCCGAAATGAACAGTAGAAGTATATGTTTGCATATTTTCATATGCATTCAGAATTTTTGTCACATGCCTGTTGGTCACAGCTGAGTCGGTCAAGGTTTCACGGTTTTACTGAAGAATGTGAAATTATTTGTTTTTTACAGAATCTGATTTGTGTAAACAGCAACACTTTTTAATTAAACATGTAGAATAAAGCAGTTTTGATGAAATATTTTAAACTTGGTTAATTATCCTGATTCAATGGCATTGCACAAATGATGAGTTCAAGGACTGTCAGAAAACTGAAAATCTGTCAATACTTTATATTTTTACAGTTTCTGTCTTGTGCATTTTTTGAGTTTTTTAAAAAAGTATCATGCCTGTCAAATGCTATTTTGGATTTCAGAGGGTTAACATGCTTTATAGACATGAGTTAACCTTTTTATTTGAAGCTGGAAAACAGTCACTGACAGGTAGGACGTTGGATCAGATCCAGGGAAGGTGACTGCTTGCTGTCTCCGTGTGTTGACTATTGATTGATTGGATCAAGCTGTGCAGTGTGTGTGCAGGATTTGCTACAGAACGGCTGTGTCTTTGTGTGTGTGTGTGTGTGTGTGTGGCTGGGTGCACTCAGGGTCACAGAGGAAACGTGGTCCTCCTTTACATTGTTAAAGTTCAGTTTAATGGAAGTTTTCCTGCTTTCTGTTGCAGTGTTCAGCGCAGTGCGGCCTCGGCCAGCAGATGAGGACGGTGCAGTGTTTGTCCTACACCGGACAGCCTTCAAATGAATGCGCAGAGTCCCTCCGACCCACCACCATGCAGCAGTGCGAGAGCAAGTGCGATGCCACCCCGATCTCCAACGGCGATGGTAAGATGAAGCATCTGCCTTCACACGTTATTGTTGCTGCCTAACCTCGTCTGTGTGACGCATTGTCTACTTGCCGTTTTCATCACAGCTGAGGAGAAAATTTGTGTCTACCAGACGGCCTGCAGTTCCTCCTAATGCAAAGGCAGATGGTTTTATGTGAACACATAGTGTGCTGTTTGTGCACCTCTTTCACACAAAGGCCCAATTGAAAAGGTTATAAACTGTCTCTATCTTCATCTTCACTGTTCTGCTATGACCTAAACACACTTGGATGACACACTCCTCTACACTTTGCCAGCTACATTAATCTTTCCAGTGAGGTTGGCTCCTGGTCAAAGCGAAACAGCTCAGCCCTCCATATACACTTACACATGATGGATGGCTATTCAGATGCATAGAGAAGGGCCTTTCGATTAGCCTGAATGGAAAACGTGAGCAGCGTTTACAGGCTGGCTAATGGGATTAGCTGTAGGCTAATTGTTCCTTTACGGACAGCAGTGAGGCAATGTCTCGTTTCATTTGGCTCTGCAGAGGCAGGGGCCAAAGCCTAATAAGGGAAGACACTCTGATCGTGATAAGGCATTTAGAGCGCTGCCTGTCAGGCATCCAGCACGCAGTTTGTGTGTGTGTGTGTGTGTGTGTGTGTGTGTGTGTGTGTGTGTGTGTGTGTGTGTGTGTGTGCGCGCGTGTGTGAGTGTGGATCGTAGGGATGGCAGTCAGCCCAGTTAGAGATCGAGGCCAGGATCTGTCTCAGTCTTAGCCTCTGCGTCCAAGTATAGCTGCAGTTTTATTCTATTCAGGCCTGAGGGAGCTGCGCTGGTCCTCATGCTGCAGGTTAGCTCCAGTTTGTGCATCTCTTGCGTTATCAGTCCATTTGTGTCACAGCAGTAGAAATGTGCCTATAAATATCCCAGGTTGTTTAACTGCTTACCTTTATCCTGAAGGTGTTTTCTGAATCCTTAAAGACTCCTCTAACTATTGGAGTGGAAAAATACTCCATTTGTTGCACAATATAGAAGATTTGTTCCTAAAGTTCGAGACTGTTTTCCCCAAACAAAGCAGAGGAATTGACAGACAAGAAACAACAAGAACAAACACACAAAACCACAACAACTGATGTGCACCAGGGTCTATATGTTGTCATTTTATGTGTAAATTACAAATTGCTTCAATGTTGTCTTCATGCTGAAATTTAACAATACATGAGATTCATTTTGTCTTATTGGATGTTCCCATACATATACTCTAAAATGAACACTGAACAGAGAAAGTGATGATAGTTTAACACACATCACAATAAATCTCATGTCTACTGAGTCTCAACATGGTAGGTGCAACAACAAGACAAGTAAAACAGAATATCAATGCTGTAACAAAACAAAAACAAAAAAACATGAATCCTCAGTGGATACACATTTAACTTATTAGCAGAAAGGAAATTCTCAAAAGCTTCTAACTGAAATGACATGGACTGGCCCGCGTTTTTTTCCTCCCACTGCTGCAAATATCTTGCTCAAAGGGAGTCTTTGGATTTGTTGAGGTTTGTCTCGAATGTAAAATATTAAAAGATCTTGACCTTAAGATATGAAGTGCTCTGAGAGGACTTATGTTCCGAATTGGTGCAATATAAATAAAACTGAACTGAACAGAACTGAATGCAAGAGAGGCACAAGCTGGGGTTATGAGCAGGTCACCTCTTAAGAAGAGAGTCAGACTAATGAAAAAAAAAAATTAAATAAATTAACCAGCCCTCTTCTTTCTATCTGCAGAATGCAAAGATGTCAACAAAGTAGCCTACTGCCCGCTGGTGCTGAAGTTCAAGTTCTGCAGCCGAGCATACTTCAGACAGATGTGCTGCAAGACTTGCCAGGGGCACTGACCCTCGGAGCACAAGACGTAGCGACGGGGAAGCACGAATACAAAGGCAAGAAGGATGGAGGGAAACGGCACTGAGAGGGAGAAGAAGAAGAAAACAGGGCAACACCCCAACTCTGGACCAGTGGGAGAAGGAGAGAGAGAGCAGCGCTGCAGAAAGAGGGGAGAGAAGTCAGGATTTCCCTGTTGATCACACCGATCCTCCTGCCCTCCATCATGGTGGAATCCAAACCACTGCTCAGCCCACAACGCTGACACAAACGCTTTTTCTTTTTTTTTTTTTTTTAATTTTCACTTCTGTGAAGTGGAACTTGGAAGATTATTTGTTGGTGATGTTATTTTTATTATAATAATAATTATTGATATCATTGTTAGTCTTCCTCCATGTTTAATGAATCCAAAGTGCTGGACACATCGCTCACAGAGGATGTACCCCGGAGATTAGAAGAGGGCGACGGGAGGCTCCGGCTCCTGTCTTTGGGACGACTGTGATGGTGCTATTGGCAGGCAGACTTTTGGCTTCGGTGCACTTTTTCGTGTAAATACTTTTGCCAATTTTACCGCTCAAATATGACAGAGAAAGCCCATCAGTGTACTGTATATTTATTGTACAATTCCAAACAGAGCTGAGATATTGTCCTCTGATCACGTCTTCGTCAGATAGTAGCCTACTGTCATGGAAGGGAATGTAATGTGATTGAATTCATATTCAACGTGCTGGAATGAGAATATTACATACTGTAACATACGTTAAACCCTTATATACTGTAAGGATTTGTATATTATATATGATGTTAATCCAGGACCAGAAAATACCGCACAGTTAGAGGAGGATTTTTAAATTTTCTTTCCCCAGACTGGTGCCTTCAGTCAAGTAAAAGTTCACCCAGTGTCAGTCATTAGTCCAAAGTATATCGTCAGACGGTGCCTGGGCCACGTGAAACACTGTTGCCAAGCTGGCCTTTACTAAACATCCCATCGAGGAGCTTTCAGTTCACTTTTGAAGGATTCATTTTGAAGGAGCATTTTCTATGAAGCAGCCTGTTCATTGGAATCACGGTGCAGTCGCTATTTCTTACTCTTCTCAATCAAGAGTTTGTCAGATGTCATATTTTTTATATTTTAGCTGCAAGAATGAAAGGACTGGTTCAGCATTTTGGGAAATGTCCTTGTTTGCCTTCTCTCTGTGAATTAGATGTAGAGATTGAGAGTAGAATAGCAGCAGGAGATGATTAGCTTAGCTTAGCATAAAGACCGGAGATGGAGGGAAACGGCTAGCCAGGCTCTGTCTGAAGGTAACAGGAATCAACCAACTGGCAGCACTTTTAAATCTCATTTATTTGCAAATGATCTATTTCTACAAAATTACAGTTTAAAAACTGAGGACTGAAGATTCATGCTCACTGTCAAATAATCGCAGCAACATTTCGATCCATTTTAATTTACAAGCCTGACCTCACCAGGCAAACGTGAACCTTCCATTTCATCTTTGATTTCCAGCAATGTGACGACGTGCCTCAACAGGGTCCGCTCACATCAAACCCTCCCCACATTAGATAAATGGTTTTGATTGGCTCGCCACATGCAAGGCCAGGTAGAAATCTGTTTAAACAGTTGGGGCCAGATGCACTCTGCCCAAACAAATCAAAGCTGAGCTCTCAGATCAGCAAGAAGTGACAACTTTGGGACATTTGTGCTGATTCAGGTCTTCAGGTCAGCATTGAGCTTTGTAGCAGTCAGTAATCAACTGGTTTTGTTTCCAGCTTCTTTTACTCTGTTTATTGCAGCCATGTAGGCTATAGCGCCACCTTCTGATGACATTACGCAGCCTTGTTCATTTACTCCAAAACAGTTGACTCTAGGACGCTACAGTGTCTGGATCATGGATGCATTAAGGAGATCTGGTACCAGGTTTAATTTATGCCATTCAGCCATTCAGTCCTATAAAAGATGCTCATTGGGCTCAGGAGCCCATCAAGGTTTAACATTCCCTTAGAGAGCATGCATGTCCAAGACACCGAGCTGGTTGACTTCTCGTTTGCTCTCTGCATACATGAATGTGAAAATAATTAAAGCATATGACTTTGATTTTGGATTGATTTTGGAAAAGTTAATGGACCAAATTGACAAATTCTGATTATAAAAAACAGTGATTTTGGGGGTTCACGATGCTCAGAAAAATGTGTTCTCTGTTTTATAGCTGCTGCTTGTTGCTGCAGTCTAAGTGATGCAGAAGTTGCAATACTTGATTCAGCCACTTGGTGAAACTTGTTTTATTCCTAGAGGAGTAGTTTGGCCAAGAAATAGTCTAGTACACAACCTCCCTGTACAACATTTCACACTTTTTTTGTGCATGGATTAAATTAACAATGTTAAAGCAGTTAATCAGTGAGATTTAAAGCTGCTGCCAGGCTTATATCCAGTGTTTACTGTAGGCTAACATTTCTGTTACACACATTAGATCAGTCGCAGGAAGGTAAAAAAGCATATTTCCCAAAATGTTGAGCTGTTCCTTCTAAATATACACCACGTATCCGGGCTTCACACACTCTCCCCCAGATAAAGTTACCCCCTCGTCCTCTTCCCCTTCCCACCCATCATCTTCTCCGAAAAGAACAAAAACAGCCAACTCAATGGTGCTTCCCCTCCTCTCGTATTGTTGTTTTTTTTTTTTTTTAATTTCCATGGAGTACTGTGTTTACCTCTTCTTTTCCTCCCGCTGTGCTCCGAGGGTTACGGCCTTCCCAGGCTTCTGGTGCTATCAAGTGGGTGCTTCCATTCAAACCCTCGCCAGTGTGCTTAAAAGTGAGGCTGGATCCAAACAATATGAAATAATATACGTGTCAATATCTCCGTTGGTAAAAATGCTGGTCATGTTATTGTTTTTGTTTGTATCTGTTTATACCTCACACTGGGAATTTGCATTGTTAACCGCGTATTATTGTTTGTGCGACCAACAAAAATGGACACTCGCCCGGTTGTCGCTGATCCCTTCCTGCTGGGGCTGTGAAAGGGAAACACCTATGAAACGTCTCCATCACACACTTGTCATGGAGGCGAGAAACCTGAGAGACGGTGTGGGAGTGCGAGAGGAACAACGAAATTTTGCTGCTGCTACTTTTTTTGTAGCCACCTTCAGTATGACAGATTTTATTGGTTAAGAGGCAAGAGTGGAGAGCGGACTTTGAAATTCAAAGTGCTTGGACTGACTCGTCCGCTGGCTGTGGGATAAAGGAGCCTCCAGAAAAAAAGAGAAGTGAACTCAATCAAACTGGTACTCATTGCTGTGAACTTGGATGTTTGAATGTCACATTGCTTATACCTGTACCTAAAGTGCAAGAGAAAATAAGAAGCATCATGTGATTAGTATATTTTATATTCAGTATTAATGTTGGTACACTGTTACTAATTTTTTTTTTCAAATGTAAATTATATGCTAATTTATTGCGTTGTCTCACTTGTACATTTATTTCACTGCATGCAAACTGAAATTTAGCATAGTGAAAAAAATGCAGTGATGCAGCAGCCCTTCACCAACATTTTTTTTTTTTTTTTTTTTAAGAAGTAGATACAATAAAAAGAGCAGCTTTTAAAGAGACTCAGTGTTAGTGGATTCACTCTCCTTCCACACGTCTGTGCAGCCTTCCTAGTGATTCCTGTGAGAACATGCACCGAGGATCAGACGGTGCCAGGCTGGATGCCCCGTTCTCACAGGCTTTAGGAGACGTATACTCTTGTCCTTTCATTCAACTCTTGGAAAGCACCCACAGCATGAGAGCAGCTAATGGCATCACACCAGGATACCCGTTACCACCATCTATTCACCCAGTTTAGGGTGACCAAACCAGAGAAGGAGCTTTTGTTCCGATCGAACTCCGACACTTCGGCAGCATCATCGTCTGAGTTTCGAGCAGAATGTGATTGAGTGTCAAACACCTTTCCTAACCATCCCCAGACTCCCTTGCCGTGGTCTTCTTACTCTCCTTCCTCTCATCTCTGCCTCAAGTGTCTGGATTCGCTCTCTGGGAGCTGTGAGGTTTCCACTCTCCCTGGTAATTAATTCCAAATAAACAGTAACCAGCCCACTTGGCTGGGAAACGCCGCTGTCTCCTTCTAATCCACAGTGTCCAATTACAGAAGGAGACGGATGGCCTGTTTGGTCTAATGTAACCAGTTTAGAATACCTGGACGTCTGGCTCAGCTTCTGCAGGGGTCTGTGATTACATTAGTCCTAACCTGCAGAGCTCAGGGTTACAGGCAGGGAGGAAAAAGAAGAAGAAGTCGAGGGATCCTGTATCCTGCAGGTGACCTGACAGCCCCGAGGTGGCTGCTGTACATGAGACATTCACACATGTGCACGCATTAAGGCTGCAACTAGTCAGTAGTTTTGTTTTGTTGTTTTAATCGATTAGTTGTTTGGTCTATAAAATGTAAGAAAATGTTAAATAATGCTGATCAGTGTTTTCCCAGGGCCATGACAATGTCCTTAAATGTCTCCTTTTGTCCACAACCCAAAGATTTTCAGGTTATTGTCATCAAGAACAAAAGAAGCCAGAAAATATTTCCATTTAACAGGCTGAAATCAGAGAATTTAGAGGGTTTTATTTACCCTAAGAAATGACTCAAACCTATGAATGAGTTATCAAAGCAGTTAATTTACAATTAACCACTAATTGATTAGTTGAATAACTGCTTGAGCTGTAGTGCACATACATCAGCGATAGTATATTTTAGATTTTACACACAGAGAAGTATGTACACATGACCCAGAAGTCTCCAGATGAGGATACAATCAAAGTAAGACTTACCGGTATTTATCTTTTCAAAGTTGATACAGAATGTTTCACCCTGCAACCTGACAGGATCAGTCCTTTAGGTTAGAAGTCCAATTCTGTCTTTCAGAGACTGTTATTGGTCTACATACTGACGTACTTTGCGATTGCAAGCTAATATATTGAACTGAAATGTGTTTATACCAACATGAAGACTCCAAAAATGTGTTTG